ACATTCCCCTTAGAAGTACTGGAAGGAAACAGAACCCCAGGATAAAGTGTATCTCAAGGAGGCGTGGGTACTGCGACCAGCACTGACGTGTGGGGTCTAGGAGAACACGACATGTGCCCAGTGAGAACAAGCTTTGCAAGCCAGTCTTCAAAATATTGCAATTCCTGGGCAAAGCAAGTTAGGCTGATGATTTCAGAAAAAGCCAAGTATATCAGAACTCTCCAACAGAAACCGTCTGCCTTACAAATTTTGTCCAGGTCTCAGTGAATGTTAGCTCTTCCCAGCTTCCTTTTTCCCTCTCTTCTGCCATGAGATGGTAATCCTGGTGGAGTCATTAACATACTTTTATGAGGCATCTGGGCATCTGATAAGTTTTATGAGAGTAAGTTCGAATTGGATAATTTTCTAATAATTTCAGAAGTGCTCCTTTTCTTCTTTTCTCATTGCTTTCTCTGCCAACAGTTTCTTAATACTTTATTTCTAACTTTCTCTACTCCTTCAGTCTGGTTCGTTATTTACGATGCACAAACTAGTACCGTTTAAAGTACATCTATGATTTTAAGTATAATGCAAATAAATATTACCCCTTCTCCCACTAACTTTGTTGCCTAAGCTTAGTTTAGGGTGTGTATGTGCTGGGAATTAAAACTTAACCACATCTGTATAAGCTCTTAATTTCAGGAAAGCTTTGAATGCATATGACATTCTCATCAGCGGGCCAGAAAGATATAATCTGGTCGGTCTTTTTCCTCACCCGGTTTCACTGCTGACTGGAAAAAAGATCGATGGCTCGGTAAACAAAGGGGTGCTTAAAATGTGGCCTCCAATTTTATAGTGGGTCTGGTTTAAATAATACTTAAAATCGCTGTTTGCGTACCCAGAGTCTACGGATAATATTGACTTGAGTGGGAACTGTTGATATGTTAGGAGAACCCAAAGTGGATTCAACACATGAAGGAAATGGTTCATTAAAAACAGTTTAGAGTGCAGCATGACGGCTGATTGATTACAAAAGCAGGACCCCGAGGGGTGATGATCAAAATGACAGGCACAAATAGGATTAATATCTAGATCTGAGAAAAACGAACAGAGACATGAGGATCACAGCAGACCGTGCAGTTAATATGAAGTCGCACGTTGTACTGATAAGAAGTAGGTTACATGATACTGGGGTGAATTCACATGGGTGGAGTTTGCAATGAAAGCGCAGTGCCTCTCCTCGTTTCTCTCTTTCCCATAATAAAGGACTTGGCAGCAGACAGACCCTTATTAGGGTGGTATGTCCAGTCTGAGGCCCCTTATTTTACGGAAGATATGGAGACACTGGAAAGGTTCCAGAGGAGACCCTAAATGATTAAAGAGACAGAAAATAAAACCTAGGAGGGAAGGTTAAAGGGTTTGGCGTTGTTTAGTCTGGAGTGAAAATGTGTCTAAAGGCAAACGTAACAGTCTCCTACACGAGGGGTTATTATAGAGGATGCCGACCAGCTGTTCTTCATCTCTACGGAAGACAGAAAAGGTAAGAGGCTCAAAAGCAAGATGAAACTTTAGGTCAGACATAAAGAAGACTTGCTTGATGTAATAACTGATTTGACGTTGACACCACTGTGAGTGAGATCTTCACCCATCTGACTCCATCCTAAGTGACAGTCTTGCACGTTTAGGCAGAAGCCAGGTTAGAGAATACCCTTCACTCCTTTCTAGGGCTATAGTGTTCCTCATGTCTCCATTGAATGTGGGAGCAAAGATCCTGAGGGTCCACGTTCCCTAATTCACAAACAAGGTGCCATGAGAATGTCAGGCTGCCCACAAATATATGCCTACATCTCATTGGACCTTTGTTTGTTCAGATGGGTATCTCTAAGAATATGTCCAACTTCAGACATTGAAGAGATGATAAGTATATTTTATAGATTCACTCCTCTATGTAGTTTCTATGTATAGGCAGCATTGCTTTTTGTTTAATGGGCACACAAATATTAATTGATGATGATAATCATAGTTATGAATTATTAAGCTCTTACTGTGATTATGTTGGGCACTGTGCTAACTACTTTATGTAGATTATTTCTCCTTTTTTTTTTTTTTTGCAGTAGTCCTATGAATTAGGAAAAACGATCAGCTTTATTCTAACGCTAAGAAACTGAGTCACAATGAGGTTAAGTAATACAGCTAGGAAATGTTGGAGTCCCAATTCAAACCCATTTGGTCTGACTCAAAAGGGTGTGCTTAACTATGATACCACTGCCTCCCATCATTAAGTATTTTTAGCTCTTGGGTGGGAAGAAACATTGCAAAAAGAAGCACTTGTTTGTTGGCGCAAAAAAGATTAAAACATCATGCCTTTCATAGGTTTACCTTGCCCAGGGAATGCAATAGTTTTCCTAGCACAGCAGAAAGACTGACTTTGCCTTCTGACTATAAGCATGCATTGCTCTCTCCCACAAAGGTGAGGAATCCAATCAAGGTTCACCTGTATTTTATTAATTAGAAACACTTGGCCATTCACCTATCCCCTAACCTTGCACACAGGTCTTCCATGACTGTTGAATGCATTATGACTGTGGTGCTTTGAGACAAACTGAGCTGAATTGAGTTTTCCCAGCATGCTGGTGGTCAAGGCTATGGTGGGTCATTTCTATGGGCCTTTTATCAGATGTTCCCTAAGAGTCTTAAAATCCAACTATTTCCTTTAATACAGCATCCATGAGAAAGTATATGGATGGGTCACATATTTCCCCAATGTCAACTACTCTCAGATCAAGAAAAGATTTGTAAAGGGTTTATTGAGTGCTGTTGTGTATCAACAAAAGATGATTCAACAACAGACATCAAAATGATTTTTAGAAAGGCAAACGAACCACACACAAACAAAAAATTAAAAGCCTTGATGCAAATTACCCCCAAGGACAGATATTTTCCCATTAGGACAATTTATCTTGAGTCTATAAACAGAGAGGGGCATCATTATCCAAGTGTTTGTTAACAGATCTAAACCTTATGGGGCTATAAAAAGCTGGAGAGAGGAAGAAAGAGGAAATTCCCAGGAGAAGAACCCCAACCACATCCAGGGCCTAGCCGATCTCCATAAATACAAAGCGGCACTAAGCGAAGCACAGGAAGAAACCTCAGTCTCTTAACCTAAGCCACAGAAATAACTTTGAATTGTCTTAAAACTAAACAGTGATAATTCTAGCCAATAACCTTTCAGCCGACACATGGGCAGACTGGTGACTTATT